TTTGTGAGGAATTTTATGAGATTCTCCATCATATTCTCATGAAATTTTTATCTCTTTTCACTTTTTTTTTTCTTTTTTCTTTTCTTTTTTCTCTCTCTACTCTTCTCTTCTTCGCTAAGGTAAGAGTTCAGGCCCACCGTTAGTACATATTAACGCGTCTTCTAAGAAAAGGTTTTCACACCCATGTTTCTTTCTCCTCCCCAACTAATGTGGAATATCACAATTCACCCCCTTTAAGGCCTAGTGTTCTCACTGGTATTCGTTTCTTTCTTCCATCGATGTGGGACTGCCACCAAATCCACCCCCCTACAAGGCCCAGCGTCCTTACTGGTACACCACCTCGTGTCTACCCCCTTCAGGGAACAGCCTCCTCGCAGGCACATAGTCTGATGTTTGGCTCTGATACCATTTGTAACAGCCTACACTCACTGCTAGCAAATATTATTCTTTTAAAATTTTTTCTTTAGTGCTTTCCCTCAAGGCTTTAAACGTGTCTGGCAGGGAAATATTTCCAAACTCTTATAAAGAACGTTTGGTTCTGGGAAAGGTTTATGTTCCCAAACACTTATAAAGAACGCTCGGTTCTCAACAACTAATTCATTCCTCATTTTTCCTAAGAAAAAGTAAGTTGGGACCTATAACTTTTATTTTTTGTTTTTAATTATATAATATTGCTTTTAAGGTTGGAATGTTTCTTGGTTCATGCATTAAGCTTACAATTAGAAGATACTGACAAATAATTTAATAATTAGTTGAAGTTAGGTCAAGACAGAAATGAACAACGACAAGAAACAATCTTTTATTTCCTTATTTTTGCCAATCAATCAATGTCGTTTTAATTATATGGATGGATAGTTATTTTTCAGCTGTTCATTGTAATCTTCTTCTTCAAGCTTTTATCAAATTATGCTTTAACTTAAAAAAGTATTATTATTTAGTTTTCGTTGGATAACTATTTCGTTTTAAGTTTTTGACCCTTCTAAAGCCATTTTTGATCTTATTAAGGGAAATTGAGGATAATAGGACTTCCGTTCACTCAATTTTAGATAGTTTTAGAACTTATATTGGAAGTAAACATCATGTTTAGCTAGACTAAGATATTGATATTTCCTATGAATATGAATGTGATATGGATTGATAGGTGAAGTTAAACGTTGCAACATAGTTTTGAAGCCATTAGTAAATAATTAAGGACTTTAGCTAAGACCAACCATGTAAGTGATCTTACTGTTCGAGTTAGATAATTAAATAATGTATGATGGTGCATGCCTTGTGGCCTCGACAGGTTCCATATTATTTTATGCTATGCTTATGTGCTCTATGTATAGACATAGGATGTTATGTAATGTGCATTTGTTATTCATTACATTATGTTATGAATGAATTGTAATGCTATGTCTGTTACGTCCTGTCTTGCCATGTGAAGTTATGTGATGGAGAATGTGACAATTGTCATGTATACATAATGCATTTATGTAATATTTCATGGATGAAAGGAGAAACGAAATGATGTTAATTCTATGCTATGAATGTAAATCATGGAGACCTCATGCATGTACGTATGTCATGTGTATCGGATTACTTCCTCGTTATGTAATGCTAGTACGGACGCATACCTTCTGTTGAGATCGCAGAACAACGCACACACTCAATCTAGATGAACACAAAGAATAGGATAGAGAAAATGCAAGAAGAATATTGGCCAAAGATTTTGTATTGATGACTATAGAGATATACATAGTAAGAGAGAATACAGAGAATATAGAAAGTACATCTTCAAGCTCTGCGTAAGTATATATATATGTTTAGCTTACTATATATACCTTACCAGATATAACCCTCTACTATATATAACTATCTACCATAAATACATTTTTTTTATTATACATGTCTATTTACTATTTATGACATTTTACTTTATATGTCATTTACCAAATATAGTTTACTGTTGACTAAGCTATAAATAAGCCGCTACATAACCTAACACCTTAGATATTTATGTTCGTCACGATATCATGTATGTCTTTCCATGTGCGTGTGCTTGGATCGTGTGTGGGAAAGTACCACACATCCAACCCTGTCTAGAACTGAAAAGAGTCCAATACCATGTTATGGTATTAAACGATAGGTCTAAGTCATGTTATGTGTGTGATTGCATTACTTATCCCAAAAGTGGGGTTACTTACAATTTCTTAAAATATTGAAGCCATATACTACCCTTATATTTTTCCAGTAAATGAAAGTTTTCCTTTACGGATGACGGAGAATGTTAGAAAGACCATAGAAGTCTAGATAGGATAATAGTATGCATTAAATTTCATTTAGTAGTTCATAGGTAGGTTATATCATTTTTTTTCCTGTTAAATGACTTAATTTTATTTTAAATTTCTTGTTTGGATGACTTAATTTTGAAGTTTTATTATGAATTTTTGTTTATGTTATTTAAAGTATCCATGAAGTGATCGTCACTAATTTAGGTAAGAAAATTTGGGGCATTACAATCAGATCGCTATTAAATACATGTTTTATTGTCGTAATAAGAGAGTAAAGAAAGTGTAAGTTGTTGATCATGATTATTTTCAATAAAAATAGAAAAAATTGCTCGTGATTTCACGAAGTCATTAATAATCACACAACCAAAACATCTTATAATATCAACTATTAAATATTTCCACAAGAACTATACAAAGTGAAAACTATAAATATTCAAAATAATGTAGAAGCATAACTCTGATTCATGACACTAACAACAACCGCGATGCCAATGGAAAAACTTGAGTATTATAATGTAACAACCGAAGTTCATCCCTAGTTGATATTGTCTGTTTTAGCCTGCTATGTATCGTTGTTAGGTTCAAAGGTTTAAAATCGTTTGCTAACGAGAGGTTTTCACACTCTTATAAAAAATGTTTCGTTCCCCTCTCTAACTGATGTGGGATATCACAATCCACTCCTTTAAAGGCCCAAATTTCTCATTGGCACACCGCTTTACGTTTGACTCTACTACCATTTGTAACAACCAAAGCATACCACTAGCAACTATTATCCACTTTGGCCCGTTAAGTACCGTTGTCAGCCTCACGGTTCTAAAACGAGTCTATTAGTGAGAGATTTTTACACTCAGGTAAGGAATGTTTCGTTCTCCTCTCCAACTGATTTGAGATTTCACACATAAAGACTCTAAGTAATCTCACTATTACGGTTAGATACAATAAATATAGTGTAAAATGGTTGACCCACAATCAATCAAAACAAGATCATATTAGCCCATGACGTTTTCTGGAATAGGATCATCTAGTTTGTGATTTTAATTTAACTCTAATCATGTAGCTTGTGATAAGAATCAAAATATTAACCATACTTAATAGACATAATGTTTTTTGGTATATAAAGTCCTATAAATAGTTTTACAACAATATTTGAGTGTACACATAACAATCACATAATCATAGAACAAACAAATGTATTTATATTTAATCACGTTTAAGTTAATCGAAAAATCTTTTTCCTATAAGATGTTATTTTCAAGAAGTGAATTCATCCATTTAACTTACCACCGACTTAATCTAATTCAATTAGCTTCGGCATGAACATACAATATATAGTTATTGACCCAAAGTACACAAATCTTATTCAAAATGCTCAAAGTAACTCTAAAACAAATAAAACAATGCAAACGTAACCCAACCGAGTGTGAACCAAAAAGAAAACTTGATCCAAGTCTAGGCCCCGAAGAGGGGTAAATTGGGAGTTCTTACATCGGTTGGGGAGGAGAACCAAACATTCTTTATAAAAATGTGGAAAATTCTACCTAGTAGACGTATTTTAAAATCCTCCGAAGCACAAAAAGAAAAACCCAAAAAGAACAACATCTACTAGTAGTATGACTTGGTATTTTTTATTTTTTAAAATAGTGATACTTTTTATTCATTTAACTTTAATCTTAAATTAACTTAATTTATTGGACATACTATATTTTCAAATGATGTATACATGCTTTTTACATTTTACATTTAAGAAAAATTTAGTTATTCCTTGTAATCACTCTCTTATCTTTTATTTTATTTTTATATTCTATACATTAAAAAAAAAAATTATTGTTTCAAATTATTATGAGATAAAATCAAATATTTTGCATCAAAATTGATAGGAACTAAGAGATATCAATTATACAATATACTTCAATAAACAAAAACCCTTAAATATCAAACGTGTATTCACTAGAATTCGGCCTAAAAACGGAGGATTTAAAGAGATACCATCTTGAGAAATACGTTGAGGACTTTATATCAAAAATATAAAAAAGCTTCAATATCTTAATAACCTACCCGAGTTACTCAATTTATTAGAAATTAATTTTGAGATGAAACCTCCCGTTTATCTAATATTTTATAAAGATAAGTGCCAAACTGAAACGATACAAAAATAAATAAATAAATAAAGGATAATAAATAATGTGCAAATTCCCTCACACAAGATTCACGAACGAAAAGAAAATTCTAAATAAAATATGTACGACTTCACCAACCATTTTAAAAAGAAAAAAAAAAAAGGGAAAAGACAAAAAAAAAAAAAAAAAAAAAAAAAAAAAATTTTT